AATCTGAAGATGAATCAGGTGATGCATGTTAAACACTAAGAACAGTGCCGGGCAGATAGTAGATGCTCAAAAAGTTATTTTGATGATGACTGTATTTGTTTAACAAACCCTCTCTTATTTTCCCTGTTCCATTTATTTATTTATTTATTTAAGCTGAGCCATCCTGCTACCTATTGGCAGCTTAGCGGCAGCTCAACTCAGGCCAGGCATTGAACCGCTGTTGCTCAGAGCTCAAACTCTTGAGCGAGCTCTTAACCAACTGAGCCACTCAGCCGGCCCCTTCCCTGTTCCATTTAGAATGATTCACCACTGAAGACATTTTTTTCAGGTGACGTGATTCTCATCATCCAATAGCTCAGAGCGTTCATCAGTTTCTTTCCTATCTTGATTCTTTGGGACAGGTTATATATGAGAATTTTCAAATATATATTCACTTATAAAGTACATTTTTGTTTAGTATACTCTGGCTTTAATTAATAGAAAGGTTTTGCTGCACTAAATTTTAGGAAAAAAGTATAATGATAAAACACATACATCAGCTTTTATGGTGTACCTCGAGTTCTGAGTAGGTGTTTACCTTCAGGATACACACTTTTATTTTCAGAATGATAACTTCAAGGCTCTGAGGTAACTCTGAAACTATTAAAGCTTTTATTGTTACTCAGAGAGAGATGGGCATTAACATCCTTATTTTATAGGAATATTCTAAAATATGGTAAGAAACAAACTCAACATTTTGGTTAACCCTTTGATATGGATAAAATTCAATTAGGGAGAGCCTACCTTTCTTTAAGCATTTTAATTACTTGAGGCATTGATCCTTTAATAATAGGCACTGTACAGGTATCCCCACTTTATGAAAATTTCCTTTACACCACTTTGCTTTCTTGAAAAACCTCTCCTTTTGGCTAATTGAAAGAAATCGTCGGAGGATTTTTGCTTTTAGCAAAAAAGGCAAAAAGCCAAAATGGTGTTCAGTGCTTGTTTTTCATTGAGCCTATAGAGGCAGCCTGCACTCAGAGCAGCGACAGTGGTCCCGCCAAAGTCCTTCCCTGGGAACTACACGCAGCGTCAGCACCAAGCCGCCACGACCTTGAACTATCTGAGAGCATCGGTGCTTCATGTCCGTTTATTTTGTGTATTTCTCCTTTTACTATATGTCAGTGTTTAGGTTTTCCGTGTTATTTGGTATGATCTAATAGGTTATTTTCTGGGTCTGAGAATGTTAAAAAAATTTTCCATATAAATGAATGGTAATTGCTTCTTTGCTTTACATCATTTGAGCTTACAAAAGGTTTCATAGCAAGGCTCTGCTTTCAGGTGTGTGTGTATGTAAATCTATTTTCCAAGTAACCATTAATTGTATCTCATAAAACGCAATTCCTTGATAATTTGAAAAGCTACTAAATCTTTGTCACTAGAAAGTCTTTTAAATACCTCTCTTTTGAATTCTTTTGGTAATAACAACCATGACAATAAAAACAATTATAGTTGCTCCCGCTTTAACCGTGTCCCATGCTCTGCTCTGTGATTCACTGAATGAATGTTGTTCTTTAATCTGAACGTTTCCTACATATATGAATTTGGCACTGTGTTAGTCAGACTTTTCTGTAGTTAAGAGTTTTAAAAAAGAAACTTTTTTTTTCATTTACTGAATAAAAGAGTGATCAGAGAAACTAACACCAGGTGGCGCTAAAGGACTGAACTTGGAAAGAGACTATTTGGTGCTTTTACCTTGCAGACTGGAACAAGCAGGATGCTCTTTATTTAAAGGCTGGGTTAGAAGGAAGAAGGGCAAGCATTGCCCTTACTGTGCCTTACCAGTCATCGCTAAGACTTGCCTCTGCCCAATTGTCTAGGGCCCTTCCCTAGAGAGTTGACACTCCCTCACTGTACCGGCCACACAGTACCTTTACTGAGGTCTCAAGTGGAGGTTATGTTTTGCTGGGTGGGGTGAGGGAGTTACATATTGATTTGTTTGGAAAAGAGGTGCGTGCTCTTCCATAGGAGGGCGTGACCTCCTAAAATGGGTGGAGGTCTGTTGACTCAGATCCTTATCTTGCTTCAGAACCCCTCTTGTCAGCTGTTGTAAAAACAGGTACGTGACTGGAGGCAGCTAATCAAAACTAGTTATGATCTTTTTCTGTAGGTACCATGGCCCCCCTCCCACCTCTCCTACTTCTCCTACATTTTCTAACTTCTACCTAACAAATGATATGGTAATAACTATGTATAGTGCCAGGTGGGTGCTGGACCAGTCAGGGGGATCACTTTGTAAATCACACAGATGTCTAACTACTATGCTGGTCATCTGAAATGAATATAAAATAATATTGAATATCAACTGTAATTGAAAAATAAAAACAACAAAAATTTTTTAAAACTCTAAAAAACAATACATAATTTTTCTAAAGGAAAATGGAAACAAATCTCACCTGAAACTACTTTTTGGAGGGGATTCAGTCCTGCTGTCACCCAGGAATGTGGGTAGGTACCCAGGAATTTAGGTTGGATAAGGGTAGCAAGAGAAGAAAATAACATCCTTTGAAATATCATCCCCCAGGAGAAGACTATGCAGAAGCAGCTTTTGTCACTCCATGCCCGCACTACAGGTTGACTGGGACAAGAATTGGGTTTTAATATTTAATGCAATCCCCCTTTCCTAGAAGCCTCCAATGTGCCATAAGTATTTCTCTTTAGGGCTGTTACGAGGAAAATAAAATCTCAAAACAGAGAACATAGATTTAAAAATAGAAATAAACTCCTTCCACTGGGCTTCCAAGAGGACAGAAAGGAGACTAGCAGGTGCTGAAGTCAAAAGGTGTACTACAAGTAAGTGTAAACACCAGGAACCTGAAAAACAGAGGCTACCAAGTCAGAGAGCGTCCCTGGAAAGAGTCAGGCACCCGGAGGGCACTTCCTCAGGCAGAGGGATAGGAACATTAAGAGGGATGGTCTGCGGGAAGTGATTTTGGGGGTCAGATGGGGGGAGGAGGGATGTTTTAAAAAGTGTCTGAAATTTCCACCATCAGCTCTTCCTTTTCTGAAGTCAACTCTGCAAAAAGAGCAGGCCAGGGGTTAAACATCTTGCTAATTGCTTGATTTGCATGAGTCTCTTGGAGAGAGATTACCCTAGTCAGTCCTGAGAAAGAGGGGTAACTCCCCCTATTTCCCTGTTCTCAAATCCAGTCTTTCCAATACAATAGAGAGACTTTCTGCTCACTGTTAGGGGCTGGTGTCCAATTTTTCTGCTCCCTGTTTCTTCAACAAGAGTGCCAGGGGCTCTTTAGTCCCTACAGAGGATCTCATGGGTTTCCTCTCAGGGTGGCTTTTCAAGGACAAGCAGTAATTCTCAGCACTGAAGGGGCTTTAACCTATAGAGGACTGCTTTCCTAACTGCTCTGACACGAGGCAAAACCACTTCTCTCATGGTAGCCATGGTGTCTAAGGTTGTTATTTTTAGTAGAGTTAGTCCTTTCATGCCTTTGCACAAGTGGTTTCTGTTGACACAACTTACTATGTGGTGATTACAAGGTGACACTAGTCCACCATGGCAGCAGGGCAGAAAAAGCACCTTGTGTGTATTGTCCCAAGGTGGTTATGATCAGCCACCTTCTCTAAGCATACGCAGCTAAATGACCTAGGTGTGGGAATAGGCACACCACAGTGTCAGCCAAGAAAGGTGATGTGATGCACACTTGGGTTGTGTCTGGGGAAAGCCCCTGAAGACAGTGTTGAGAGGAATATCTTCTTCTCCTTTCAAGGGTGACTTCTCTCTATGTCAGTAAACTCTGACAAATGCCTTGATGCTTTTAGGAGCTCTTCCCTGGGCAGATTTTGATAAAGATGTGGGACCCACCATATAAATTATATTGCACTACAAATCACCTCTATCTGGGAGGAGGGCTGAGGCTGGAAGTTGAGCAGGGACACACCAAGGATTCCCAGGAATGTAAGCCTCCTTTCTGTCTACTCAGAGTCCAACAAAGCAGAAGGCCCTGTTGTTCTCAGTGTACAGTACCAGACAGCATTGTGCGTTTAGAATTAGAGGGTACTTAGAAAACATCTAAGACATTGGTCACAATTTGAAGCGGTGTTTTGACAGTTTATATATATCAACCAGGTCTGTTAATAACTGTAAAGTCTTAAACATAATGTGCTATTAAAAAATCTCCATATTCTAACTACTTTGTGTGTGTGTATGTGTGTGTGTGTGTCGTGTGCGTGCACGTGCGCGCACATGAATGCATGTGTGCATGCACGGTGCTTAATGCTCACTTATTGTCAAGCTGTTTGTATTTTAATGAACAGATTTGTAATCGCAGGGATTATATTACAGATGCATTTTTCCTTCAGTCACTGGAAGCTTTTAAGGAGTCAGAAAATTTGAACTAATAGAGATAATGTTTTATGTAGTCACTTAGTGCATCTGTTGAACATATAGTCAAAGGAGTTCACTAAAATAAATGCTGTGGTTGAATTTTTAACAATGGCTGCATAAATATGTGGCCATCTATATAACCTTTATGCCCATGGGAGCCAGGAAAATGATCTGTATAATTAACCCCTTGATTGATCTGGCCTTTCAGCTGTCAGGGTAGATTGTTTGATTTTCCATGTACCCATAGAGTAAGATGTGACCGTGGATCTCAGGGTAGCTGAATATTTTTATGGGGGAAAGTTTCTTTTGAAGAATTCGACAGAATCCTTAAGTTATTCTATCTCCTTAAATTTCTCAGTTTATGCTGAAGAGTTAAAAGACATGGGTAAATCATTCAGGATCTCAGATTGGTTATGATGACTCAATAGGTGTGGCAGGTAGGATTCTGAGATGGCCCCAAGATTCCCACCCTGTATCATATCCCCCTTGAGTGTGGGCAGGACCTATGAATATAATGGAATGTCACTCCCTTGACTAGGTTATGTCATATGTCAAAGGTGATGAGATAATCATTATTATGTTATATTATATTACATTATCTATGGCTTTGTGTTGGCAGACTGGAGAGACTCAAAGCAAGGGAGCTGTTCTGTAGGCCTCAAAAAGCAAAATGTCTGTGGAAAAGGCTACACGACATCCTCTAGAAGCTGAAATGGCCTCTGGCTGACAGCTAGCAAGAAAACAAGAACCTTGGTCCTATAACCACAAGGAACTAAATTTTTCCAACAACCAGTGAACTCTAAGCTTCAGGTAAGGTGGCAGCCCTGGGGAACACCTTGATTTCAGCCTGGTGAGACCCTGAATAGAAGAGCCAGCTAATCTGTCCCTGACTCCTGGTCCATGAAGACTGTGGAAATAACACACGTATGTTGTTTTAAACTGCTGAATTTGTGGTAATTTGTTATACAGAGACAGCAAACTGAAACAATAATCTGGGGGGGTGGGAGGGGAAGTTTGGCTGAGAATTTGCATTTGTCATAAATTCTCAAGTGATGCCCAAGCTGCTGGTCCAGGAGCACTTTGAAAACCACTGTTGCAGTTCAACTTCACATGGAAGCTGATTTTATCAGTGATGTCACAAATGGACACTCACTGTATGCTTCTGGAATATAACAAATGTTAACAAGAGAAAATTTACCTATGTGTTTTATGTCACAACTAAATATAAATAGCATGTTTTAAGCCTTTAAAAATAATTTAGGGCCGGCTGAGTGGCACGTTGGTTAAGAGTTGGCTTGGGACGCCAGCTCTTTGCAGCAGGGCCCCAATTCCGATCCCACATGCGGGCCAGTGACGCTGCACCCTCTACAGCTAAGACGCTGAACAATAGCTCGACCTGGAGCTGGGCTGCCCTGAGTTGCCAGCAACGGCGTAGGCTGCAGTGGGGCTGGCTGGCAGCTGGCGTGAGCTTTCGTGAGCTGCCGTGAGCCACCGTGAGCAGCTGTCCAATGGCCGGTGAGTGACTGCCTCACCCGGGAAGAGCGCAATGATAATACCAACATGGGCCAGTGAAGTGGTGTCCTTCACAACTGGACTGAAGAACAAAAGGACAGCAACTTGTCTGTTCCCCTTCCCCGATTCCCCAATGCTGTTCCCCTCCCCCAATTCCTCAATAAAAAATATTAAAAAATATAATTTAAATGTGGCCAACAACAAAAAGTACAAAATATAATATTAGAAAAGCAATTAGGATGAGGGCTTAGGAAGTGAGGGTAGGAAAAACAATGTAAAGTAAATCCGGTCAAGATGGCTGAGTAGGTAAATGCTGTGCTTAGCTCCTGTCAAGACCACATCAAAATTACAACTAAATACAGAACAACCATCATTAAGAATAACCTGAAGTCTAGCTGAGCCAAAGCCCTACAACTAAGGACATATAGAAGAAGCCACCTTGAAACTGGTAGGAGCGGAGGCACACAATGGACTGGTCCCACACCCGCGTGTGACTAAGCGGTATCTTGGTTGCAGAGGTTCCCCCCAGAGGAGTGAGGGGTCCCAGCTCCACACCAGACTCCTTAGCCTAGGGTTTAAGTGCCAGGGAGAGAAGTGCCCATAATTTCTGGCTGTGAAAACTAGCAGAGGTTGTGGCTGAGTGAGACAGAAGATGGCTGCAGTTCCAGGTGCTCCTCTTAAAGGGCCCGTGCATGGGCTTACTCATCAATGGAATCTCTGGCTCTGAACTCCAGCACTGGGGCAGATTTCAAAGGCACCAGGGACATATGGGGAGGAACTGGATTGTCTAGCTTCAGGATGAGGGGTGGAGGGGCAGCTTTCTCCCATACAGAGGAGCTGGCAGAAGCCATTGTATCTTTGTTGAGCTCTCCCCTGTCCCAGCGTGCAGATACAGGCAGTTGCCATATCTCATTCTCCATCCTGGCTAACACAGTTCATTCACCCTGATTCCCTGAGACCCCACCCTACCCAAGTGGCTTTTCTGTATAAACAGCCTGCCGTGGCTCATGCTATGGACTTTCCTAAAACTCTGAAAGGTTCACAAAACCCAAACAAACAGCATCTGGCTTCAGCAATGTCCTGTACCTCTGGTTGAACAGCCCTAAGCCCGGCACTAGCAACAACCAGCCTTGGTTCATAGCGTGGCTTCTCCAGGCACCTCCAAACCCAGCACAGGTGATGGCTATCTATGGATTGCTTTGTGGCTCATGCCAGGTGACTCCAGACAGGGCACAGGCTGTGGCTGGACTTGCCTGCAGCAGGTCTCCTCCCAGGAGGTCCCAGGGCTGGCAAACCTGGTGGCCAGTTTTGGACCTAGCTGGACCATCACCCAGCCATCTCTGGGAACAATGCACCCAAAGGGTACACTGCACAGGCACCAGAGCCCTGCTAAAGTGAATCCTGCTCTGTAGGGTCAGCCCCTGCACCACAGCTCCTCCACTGTAGTCAAGTCCAGTCCTCACAACAAATCAGCCCAAAGATCAATCCCTCCCACTGATGTACAAACAACAACCAAGGCTCAATTACAAGTGGAGGGCACACACAACCCACACAAGGGACAAACCTGGAGTACCCAGCTTAGGTGACCAGGGAGAATGCACCACTGAGCCCCACAGGAACCTATTATATAAGGCCACTCTACTAAGACCAGGAGACATAGCAGCCCTACCTAATACATAGAAGAAAAAAAAAACCAAACACAGGGAGGCAGCCAAAATGGGGAAACAAAGAAACATGTACCAAATAAAAGAAGAGAACAAAGCTGCAGAAAAAGAACTAAACAAAATAGAGACAAGCAATCTACCAGATGTAGAGTTTCAAACTCTGGTTATAAGGATGCTCAGTGATTTGAGGGAGAACTTTATTTATTTATTTATTTATTTATTTATTTATTTATTTATTTATTCATTTATTATTAGTTTCAGGTGTACAGAACAATGCAATAGTTATCCTTTTCACCCCACTTAATAAAGAGATAGAAAATAAAAAAGTACTAGTCAGAAATAAAGACTACAATAACTGAAACCAAGAATACATTAGAGGCAATCAACAGTAGATTAGATGAAGCAGAGGATCAAATCAGCGATTTAGAAGATAAGGTATCAGAAAACACCCAATCAGAATAGCAAAAAGAGAAAACAATCTGAAAAAATGAGGATAGTTTAAGGGGCCTTTGGGACATCAAGTGAACCAACATTTGCATCATAGGGGTACCAGAAGGAGAAGAGAGAGAGCAAGGAATTGAAAACCTATTTGAAGAAATAATAACAGAAAACGTCTCTAACCTGGCTAATGAAATAAATATACAAGCCCAGGAAGCATAGAGAGTCCCAAACAAGATGAACCCAAAGATGCCCACACCCAAACACATCATAATTAAAATACCAAAGGTTAAAGACAAAGAGAAAATCTTAACAGCAGCAAGAGAAAAGCAGTTAGTGTTCTTCAAGGGAGCACCCTTTAGATGGTCAGCTGATTTCTCAACAGAAACTTTGCAGGCCAGAAGAGATTGGCATGAAATACTCAAAAGTGATGAAAAGCAAGGCCTTACAACCAAGATTACTCTACCCAGCAGAGCTACCATTTAGAATCAAAGGACAGATAAAGAGCTTCCCAGACAAGAAAAAGCTAAAGGAGTTCATCACCACAAAACCAGAATTACAAGGAATCTTAGAGGGACTTCTTTAAGATGGAAAAAAAAACGATAAAAAATATAAGCAATAAAATGGCAATAACTACATATCTATCAACTGAATTATTTTCAATGTAAATGGATTAAATGCTCGAAGTAACAGATAAGGTGGCTGAATGGATAAGAAAATGAGACTCATATATGCTGCCTACAAGAGACTCACTTCATATGGAAGATACACACAGACTGAAAGCAAAGGGATAAGAAAAGATATTTCATGAAAATAGAAACAAAAAAACAAACAAAAGCTGAGGTAGCAAAACTTACATCAGACAAAATAGACTTTAACACAAAGGCCATATCAAGAGAAAAAGAAGGACCCAAATACTTTGTAACCTTTTCTGTGACCAAATTATCCCCACCCTCCCCTGTCTGTCTCCTTGTCTTCTCTTGTTTTTGCTGAATAATTTTTGAAGTTATGCGCGTTCAACACCATTGAAGATTCCCTGGTAGAAAACAGCTAGAGTCCTGCCTAATCCTGAGGTGTTTTACTTCTTTCCTAGTAATCTCTGGTGTAATATAGGCTCACTGCTGGGACTCTGTTAGCTGAACCACTTGGATTGTTGTTTTATTTAATACTGTACTTATCACCCAAATATGAAGGCTCTGCACTCCAGCCATTTCTATACCATGAGACGTTTCATATAGCCATGCTGAGGAACTCCAAGGAAAATATATTAAACTTGATTTTGATGCTATTTTGAATATTGCTTGATATAGTGCCTGTCCAGCCCAGGTCTGTTAGAGTAGCAAGTGGGAGTGTGAATGTGAGTGTGTGAGACTGTGTGTGTGTGTGTGTGTGTGTGTGTGTGTGNTGTGTGTGTGTGTGTGTGTGTGTGTGTGTGTGTGTGTGTGTGTGTAGGCAGGGTGGGGATAGTGAGGATTGGAGGGTAACAGTCATCATGTGTGATGGGAGAGAGGGCCTGAGCAGCACTGGTAATTTCTCCTTCTGGGATATATATCGCATCTTTTTATGCAAGCCAAAGGCAGGCTACCTAGCCATTTTGTTCAGCCCCTTGAAATGGCAACTTTATACTTTTTTCTTTTTGGAGTTGTGCAGATAACTTTTCTGCAGCCCAGACACCAGCCAGAGGGAAACATCTCCAGACCTTTAACCCCACCATGACATCCTGTGCTGAATTCTGTTTCATTAAGAGATGAGACTCTATGGACACGAGCCATATTTTCTGAGTCATAGGTCTTAATATCTGTGTTATGCTGGTAATAGAATATATATATATATATATATTTTTTTTCCCCTGGGTAAGATGGGAGGTACGGAAGAAAGTAACCTTATTTTTATTTCAATTTTCATTGTTCTCCCCCATTAATAAAGCTTTATAAGCAAATGAAAATGCTGTGTTTGGACCACTCCTGGGGCTGGGGAATTCTATACAAACTTGTCAAACATGTGTTTGATTCTTCCTTTTAGTTAAATTAAAAAAATTCTTATAAAAATTATATATTTTTAGTTACAGTTGACATTCAATGTTGTTTTATATTAGTTTCAGGTGTACAGCATAGTGGGTAGACATTTATATAATTTATGCAGTGATCTTCCTGATTAGTCTAGTACCCACCTCGCACCATACATATTATTAACTAC